CTGCCTGTCTTCCTGCCTGCCTGCATTCCTGGCTGGCATGGATACTTCCTTGCTTCCTGCCTGCCTGTCTTCCTGCCTGCCTGCCTTCCATCCTGCCTGCCTGCCTACCTACCTGCCTTCCTTTCTTCCTACCTTCCTTCCTGTCTTCCTTCCGTCCTTCCTTCCTGTCTTCCTTTCTTCCTGTCTGCCTTCCTTCCTGCCTTCCTTCCTTCCTGCGTTCCTGCCTGCCTACCTTCCTTCCTTCCTTCTGCCTGCCTGCCTGCCTGCCTGCCTTCCTTACTGCCTTCCTGCCTTCCTGCCTGCCTGCCTTCCAAGCTGGCATGGATCCTTTCGTCCTGCCTTCCTGCCTGCCTGGGTCCTGGCTGGCATGGATCCTTCCTTCCTACCTTCCTGCCTACCTGCCTTCCTGGCTGACATGGATCCTTTCTTCCTGCCTTCCTGGCTGCCTGCCTTCCTTCCTTCTTCCTTCCTTGCCTGCCTGCCATCCTTCCTTCCTGCCTTCCTACCTTCCTTCCTGGCTGGCATGCATGGATCCTTCCTTTCTGCCTTCTGCCTACCTGCCTTCCTGGCTGGCATGGATCCTTCCTTCCTGGATGGCATGGATCCTTCCTTCCTGCCTTCCTCCCTTCCTGCCTGCCTGCCTGTCTTCCTGCCTGCCTGCCTTCCTGGCTGGCATGGATCCTTCCTGCCTACCTTCCTACCTACCTGCCTTCCTGGCTGGCATGGATCCTTCCTTCCTGCCTTCCTTCCTGCCTGCCTGCCTGCCTGCCTGCCTGCCTGCCTTCCTTCCTTCCTTCCTGCCTGCCTGCCTGCCTGCCATCCTTCCTTCCTGCCTTCCTGGCTGACATGGATCCTTCCTTCCTGCCTTCCTTCCTGCCTGCCTTCCTTCCTGGCTGGCATGGATCCTTCCTTCCTACCTTCCTGCCTACCTGCCTTCCTGGCTGGCATGGATCCTTCCTTCCTGCCTTCCTGCTTGTCTGGCTTCCTGGCTGGCATGGATCCTCCCTTTCTGCCTTCCTCCCTGCCTGCCTTCCTGGCTGGCATGGATCCTTCCTTCCTTCCTGCCTGCCTGCCTGCCTTCCTGGCTGGCATGGATCCTTCCTTCCTGCCTTCCTGGCTGGCATGGATCCTTCCTTCCTGCCTTCCTTGCTGGCATGGATCCTTCCTTCCTGCCTTCCTGGCTGACATGGATCCTTTCTTCCTGCCTTCCTTCCTTCCTGCCTGCCTGCCTTCCTGCCATCCTTCCTTCCTGCCTTCCTTCCTGGCTGGCATGCATGGATTCTTCCTTTCTGCCTTCTGCCTACCTGCCTTCCTGGCTTGCATGGATCCTTCCTTCCTGCCTTCCTTCCTGCCTTCCTGCCTGCCTGCCTGCCTTCCTTCCTTCTGCCTGCCTGCCTGCGTGCCTGCCTGCCTGCCATCCTTCCTTCCTGCCTTCCTGCCTTTCTGAATGACATGGATCCTTTCTTCCTGCCTTCCTACCTTCCTGCCTGTCTTCCTGCCTGCCTGCCTTCCTGGCTGGCATGGATCCTTCCTTGCTTCCTGCCTGCCTGCCTTCCATCCTGCCTGCCTGTCTACCTACCTGCCTTCCTGTCTTCCTGCCTTCCTGCCTTCCTGTCTTCCTTTCCTCCTGTCTGCCTTCCTTCCTGCCTGCCTGCCTTACTGCCTGCCTTCCTACCTTCCTGCCTGCCTGCCTGTGTTCCTGCCTGCCTGCCTTCCTGGCTGGCATGGATCCTTCCTTCCTTCCTGCCTGCCTTCTTTCTATCCTTCCTGCCTTCCTTCTATCCTGCTTGCCATCCTTCCTTCCTGCATTCGTGCCTGCCTGCCTTCCTGGCTGGCATGGATGCTTCCTCCTGCCTTCCTGCCTACTTGCCTGGCTTCCTGGCTGGCCTTCCTTTCTGCCTTCCTTCCTGCCTGGCATGGATCCTTCCTTACTACCTTCCTGCCTACCTGTCTTCCTGGCTGGCATGGATCCTTCCTTTCTGCCTGCCTTCCTGCCTTCCTGCCTTCCTACCTTCCTGCCTGCCTGCCTTCCATCCTGCCTGCCTGCCTACCTACCTGCCTTCCTGTCTTCCTGCCTTCCTGCCTTCCTGTCTTCCTTTCCTCCTGTCTGCCTTCCTTCCAGCCTGCCTGCCTGCCTTACTGCCTGCCTTCCTACCTGCCTGCCTGCCTGCCTGCCTGCCTGCCTTCCTGGCTGACATGGATCCTTTCTTCCTGCCTTCCTACCTTCATGCCTGCCTGCCTGTCTTCCTGCCTGCCTGCCTTCCTGGCTGGCATGGATCCTTCCTTGCTTCCTGCCTGCCTGCCTTCCATCCTGCCTGCCTGCCTACCTACCTGCCTTCCTGTCTTCCTGCCTTCCTGCCTTCCTGTCTTCCTTTCCTCCTGTCTGCCTTCCTTCCTGCCTGCCTGCCTTACTGCCTGCCTTCCTACCTGCCTGCCTGCCTGCCTGTGTTCCTGCCTGCCTGCCTTCCTGGCTGGCATGGATCCTTCCTTCCTTCCTTCCTGCCTGCCTTCTTTCTATCCTGCCTGCCTTCCTTCTATCCTGCCTGCCATCCTTCCTTCCTGCATTCGTGCCTGCCTGCCTTCCTGGCTGGCATGGATGCTTCCTCCTGCCTTCCTGCCTACTTGCCTGGCTTCCTGGCTGGCCTTCCTTTCTGCCTTCCTTCCTGCCTGCCTTCCTGCCTGGCATGGATCCTTCCTTCCTGCCTGCCTGCCTTCTTTCTATCCTGCCTGCCTTCCTTCTATCCTGCCTGCCATCCTTCCTTCCTGCATTCGTGCCTGCCTGCCTTCCTGGCTGGCATGGATGCTTCTTCCTGCCTTCCTGCCTACTTGCCTGGCTTCCTGGCTGGCATGGATCCTTCCTTTCTGCCTTCCTTCCTGCCTGCCTTCCTGCCTGGCATGGATCCTTCCTTACTACCTTCCTGCCTACCTGTCTTCCTGGCTGGCATGGATTCTTCCTTCCTGCCTCTATTCCTTCTTGCCTCTGTTCCTTCTTGCCTCTGTTCCTTCCTGCCTGCCTACCTTCCTTCATTACTGCCTGCCTACCTTCCTTCATTACTGCCTGCCTTCCTACCTTCTTGCCAGCCTGCCTGTCTTCCTGCCTGCCTGCCTGCCTGCCTTCCTGGCTGGCATGGATCCTTCCTTCCTGCCTGCCTGCCTGCCTTCCTTCCTTCCTTCCTTCCTTCCTTCTGCCTGCCTGCCATCCTTCCTTCCTTCCTGCCTTCCTGGCTGACATGGATCCTTTCTTCCTGCCTTCCTACCTTCCTGCCTGCCTGCCTTCCATCCTGCCTGCCTGCCTACCTACCTGCCTTCCTGTCTTCCTTTCCTCCTGTCATGGATCCTTCCTTTCTGCCTTCCTTTCTGCCTGCCTTCCTGCCTTCCTGACTGACCTCCTGCCTGCCTTCCTTCCTTCCTGCCTGCCTGCCTGCCTGCCTGCCTGCCATCCTTCCTTCCCGCCTTCCTGGCTGACATGGATCCTTTCTTCCTGCCTTCCTGCCTTCCTGCCTGCCTGCCTGCCTGCCTTCCTGCTGGCATGGATCTTTCCCTCTTACCTTCCTGCCTACCTGCCTTCCTGGCTGGCATGAATCCTTCCTTCCTTCCTTTCTGCCTTCCTGCCTTCCTGCCTGCCTGCCTTCCCTCCGTCCTTCCTTCCTTCCTTCCTGCCTGCCTTCCTGGCTGGCATGGATTCTTCCTTCCTGCCTCTATTCCTTCTTGCCTCTGTTCCTTCCTGCCTGCCTACCTTCCTTCCCTACTGCCTGCTTTTCTACCTTCTTGCCAGCCTGCCTGTCTTCCTGCCTGCCTGCCTGCCTTCCTGGCTGGCATGGGTCCTTCCTTCCTGCCTGCCTGCCTGCCATCCTTCCTTACTGCCATCCTGCCTTCCTGCCTTCCTGGCTGGCATGGATCCTTTCTTCCTGCCTTCCTGCTTGCCTGGCTTCCTGGCTGTCATGGATCCTTCCTTTCTGCCTTCCTTCCTGCCTGCCTTCCTGGCTGGCATGGATCCTTCCTTCCTACCTTCCTGCCTACCTGCCTTCCTGGCAGACATGGATCCTTTCTTCCTGCCTTCCTGCCTTCCATCCTTCCTTCCTTCCTGCCTTCCTGCCTCCCTGCCTGCCTGCCATCCTTCCTTCCTGCCTTCCTTCCTGCCTGCCTTCCTGGGTGGCATGGATCCTTCCTTCCTACCTTCCTTCCTGCCTGCCTGCCTTCCTTCCTTCCTGCCTTCCTTCCTGCCTGCCTGACTGCCATCCTTCCTTCCTGCCTTCCTGGCTGACATGGATCCTTTCTTCCTGCCTTCCTGCCTGCCTGCCTTCCTGGCTGGCATGGATCTTTCCCTCTTACCTTCCTACCTACCTGCCTTCCTGGCTGGCATGAATCCTTCCTTCCTTCCTTCCTGCCTTCCTGCCTGCCTGCCTGCCTTCCTTCCGTCCTTCCTTCCTTTGTTCCTGCCTGCCTGCCTTCCTGGCTGGCATGAATTCTTCCTTCCTGCCTCTATTCCTTCTTGCCTCTGTTCCTTCCTGCCTGCCCACCTTCCTTCCTTACTGCCTGCCTTCCTACCTTCTTGCCAGCCTGCCTGTCTTCCTGCCTGCCTGCCTGCCTTCCTGGCTGGCATGGATCCTTCCTTCCTGCCTGCCTGCCTGCCTGCCTGCCATCCTTCCTTACTGCCTTCCTGCCTTCCTGGCTGGCATGGATCCTTTCTTCCTGCCTTCCTACTTGCCTGGCTTCCTGGCTGGCATGGATCCTTCCTTTCTGCCTTCCTTCCTGCCTGCCTTCCTGGCTGGCATGGATCCTTCCTTCCTACCTTCCTTCCTACCTTCCTGCCTACCTGCCTTCCTGGCTGACATGGATCCTTTCTTCCTGCCTTCCTGCCTACTAAGACCTAACCTAATCTAAGATAGGGTTGCTGTTCCGGTGGAAGACTTAGGTCCTGTCCTTCAGCCTCTCCTCAGTTCCTGGCATGGGATCTGTCCTTCAGAAGAAAAGAACAAAGAAAAAAGAAACAAAAAAACCTAATCTAAGATAGGGTTGCTGTTCCAGTGGCTGACATGGGTCCTGTCCTTCAGCCCCTCCTGAACATCGTTCTCCAGAGCTGGGCCCGAAGATTGGGTAGACTGGCTCTGCTGGCTGGCGTGGGTCCTGTCCTACAGAAAGAAAGAAAGAAAGAAAGAAAGAAAGAAAGAAAGAAAGAAAGAAAAAGGAAAGAAAGAAAGAAAAACCTATCCTGAGATAGGGTTGCTGTTGTGGTGGCTGGCGTGGGTCCTGTCCTTTAGCCTCTCCTGAGACGCCGGCTCTCCAGAGCCAGGTCTGACGATCGGGTTGGATGAACTGGCCGTTTGGTTGGTATGGTTTCTATACATCAAAGCTTCATGACATCATCGATGACCTCAGAGCTGCAGAAGAACAATGAGATGATTCTGGAACTCGGAATGTTTTGTTTTGAATCATAATCAGGTTTCCACGGCAACATGTCATTCATGTAATCCATCATTCACTTTATAAAGTCTAAAGTCATCGACAATGTCATACCGCACTGAGACCCGAGCCAGGGCCGAAAATAGGGTGGACTAGCTCCGCTGGCTGGCGTGGGTCCTGTCCTACAGAAAGAAAGAAAGAAAGAAAGAAAGAAAGAAAGAAAGAAAGAAAGAAAGAAAAAGGAAAGAAAAACCTAATCTAAGATAGGGTTGCTGTACCGGTGGAAGACATAGGTCCTGTCCTTCAGCCTCTCCTCAGTTCCTGGCATGGGATCTGTCCTTCAGAAGAAAAGAACAAAGAAAAAAGAAACAAAAAAACCTAATCTAAGACAGGGTTGCTGTTCCAGTGGCTGACATGGGTCCTGTCCTTCAGGCTTTCCTGAGGCATGCGCTATAAAGCCAGTCCCGACAATCGGGTGGACTTGCTCTGCTGGCTGGCATGGGTCCTGTCCTTCAGAAAGAAAAAGAAAAAGAAAAAAAAAACCTATTCTATGATTGGGTCCTTGTCTGGTGGCTGGCATGGGTCCTTGTCTGGTGGCTGGCATGGGTCCTTGTCTGGTGGCTGGCATGGGTCCTGTCCTACAGCCTCTTCTGAGGCCCCTTTTTTCTGGAGCTGGGCCCGACGACCGGGTGGACTGGGTCTGCTGCCTGGCGTTGGTCCTGTTCTTCAGAAAGAAAAAAGAAAGAAAAACCTTATCTATGATAAGGTTGCTGTTCAGGTGGCTGACATGGGTCCTGTCCTTCAGCCCCTTCTGAACATTGTTCTCCAGAGCTGGGCCCGAAGATTGGGTAGACTGGCTCTGCTGGCTGGCATGGGTCCTGTCCTACAGAAAGAAAGAAAGAAAGGAAAAAGAAAGAAAAACCTAATCTAAGATAGGGTTGCTGTACCGGTGGAAGACATAGGTCCTGTCCTTCAGCCTCTCCTCAGTTCCTGGCATGAGATCTGTCCTTCAGAAGAAAAGAACAAAGAAAAAAGAAACAAAAAAACCTAATCTAAGACAGGGTTGCTGTTCCAGTGGCTGACATGGGTCCTGTCCTTCAGCCCCTCCTGAAAATCATTCTCCAGAGCTGGGCCCGAAGATTGGGTAGACTGGCTCTGCTGGCTGGTGTGGGTCCTGTCCTACAGAAAGAAAGAAAGAAAGGAAAAAGAAAGAAAAACCTAATCTAAGATAGGGTTGCTGTTCCGTTGGAAGACATAGGTCCTGTCCTTCAGCCTCTCCTAAGTTCCTGGCATGGGATCTGTCCTTCAGAAGAAAAGAACAAAGAAAAAAGAAACAAAAAAACCTAATCTAAGATAGGGTTGCTGTTCCAGTGGCTGACATGGGTCCTGTCCTTCAGCCCCTCCTGAACATCGTTCTCCAGAGCTGGGCCCGAAGATTGGGTAGACTGGCTCTGCTGGCTGGCGTGGGTCCTGTCCTACAGAAAGAAAGAAAGAAAGGAAAAAGAAAGAAAAACCTAATCTAAGATAGGGTTGCTGTTCCGGTGGAAGACATAGGTCCTGTCCTTCAGCCTCTCCTCAGTTCCTGGCATGAGATCTGTCCTTCAGAAGAAAAGAACAAAGAAAAAAGAAACAAAAAAACCTAATCTAAGACAGGGTTGCTGTTCCAGTGGCTGACATGGGTCCTGTCCTTCAGCCCCTCCTGAAAATCATTCTCCAGAGCTGGGCCCGAAGATTGGGTAGACTGGCTCTGCTGGCTGGTGTGGGTCCTGTCCTACAGAAAGAAAGAAAGAAAGGAAAAAGAAAGAAAAACCTAATCTAAGATAGGGTTGCTGTTCCGTTGGAAGACATAGGTCCTGTCCTTCAGCCTCTCCTAAGTTCCTGGCATGGGATCTGTCCTTCAGAAGAAAAGAACAAAGAAAAAAGAAACAAAAAAACTTAATCTAAGATAGGGTTGCTGTTCCAGTGGCTGAGATGGGTCCTGTCCTTCAGCCCCTCCTGAACATCATTCTCCAGAGCTGGGCCCGAAGATTGGGTAGACTGGCTCTGCTGGCTGGCGTGGGTCCTGTCCTACAGAAAGAAAGAAAGAAAGGAAAAAGAAAGAAAAACCTAATCTAAGATAGGGTTGCTGTTCCGGTGGAAGACATAGGTCCTGTCCTTCAGCCTCTCCTAAGTTCCTGGCATGGGATCTGTCCTTCAGAAGAAAAGAACAAAGAAAAAAGAAACAAAAAAAACTAATCTAAGACAGGGTTGCTGTTCCAGTGGCTGACATGGGTCCTGTCCTTCAGCCCCTCCTGAAAATCGTTCTCCAGAGCTGGGCCCGAAGATTGGGTAGACTGGCTCTGCTGGCTGAGATAGGGTTGCTGTTGTGGTGGCTGGCGTGGGTCCTGTCCTTTCGCCTCTCCTGAGACCCCGGCCCTCCAGAGCCAGGTCTGACGATCGGGTTGGACGAACTGGCCGTTTGGTTGGAATGGTTTCTACACATCAAAGCTTCATGACATCATCGATGACCTCAGAGCTGCAGAAGAACTATGAGATGATTCTGCAACTCGGAATGTTTTGTTATGAATCATGATCTGGTTTCCACGGCAACATGTCATTCATGTAATCCATCATTCACTTTATAAAGTCTAAAGTCATCGACAATGTCATACCGCACTGAGACCCGAGCCAGGGCCGAAAATAGGGTGGACTAGCTCCGCTGGCTGGCGTGGGTCCTGTCCTACAGAAAGAAAGAAAGAAAGAAAGAAAGAAAGAAAGAAAGAAAGAAAGAAAGAAAGAAAAAGGAAAGAAAGAAAGAAAAACCTATCCTGAGATAGGGTTGCTGTTGTGGTGGCTGGCGTGGGTCCTGTCCTTTAGCCTCTCCTGAGACGCCGGCTCTCCAGAGCCAGGTCTGACGATTGGATGAACTGGCCGTTTGGTTGGTATGGTTTCTATACATCAAAGCTTCATGACATCATCGATGACCTCAGAGCTGCAGAAGAACAATGAGATGATTCTGGAACTCGGAATGTTTTGTTTTGAATCATAATCAGGTTTCCACGGCAACATGTCATTCATGTAATCCATCATTCACTTTATAAAGTCTAAAGTCATCGACAATGTCATACCGCACTGAGACCCGAGCCAGGGCCGAAAATAGGGTGGACTAGCTCCGCTGGCTGGCGTGGGTCCTGTCCTACAGAAAGAAAGAAAGAAAGAAAGAAAGAAAGAAAGAAAGAAAAAGGAAAGAAAAACCTAATCTAAGATAGGGTTGCTGTACCGGTGGAAGACATAGGTCCTGTCCTTCAGCCTCTCCTCAGTTCCTGGCATGGGATCTGTCCTTCAGAAGAAAAGAACAAAGAAAAAAGAAACAAAAAAACCTAATCTAAGACAGGGTTGCTGTTCCAGTGGCTGACATGGGTCCTGTCCTTCAGGCTTTCCTGAGGCATGTGCTATAAAGCCAGTCCCGACAATCGGGTGGACTTGCTCTGCTGGCTGGCATGGGTCCTGTCCTTCAGAAAGAAAAAGAAAAAGAAAAAAAAAACCTATTCTATGATTGGGTCCTTGTCTGGTGGCTGGCATGGGTCCTTGTCTGGTGGCTGGCATGGGTCCTGTCCTACAGCCTCTTCTGAGGCCCCTTTTTTCTGGAGCTGGGCCCGACGACCGGGTGGACTGGGTCTGCTGCCTGGCGTTGGTCCTGTTCTTCAGAAAGAAAAAAGAAAGAAAAACCTTATCTATGATAAGGTTGCTGTTCAGGTGGCTGACATGGGTCCTGTCCTTCAGCCCCTTCTGAACATTGTTCTCCAGAGCTGGGCCCGAAGATTGGGTAGACTGGCTCTGCTGGCTGGCATGGGTCCTGTCCTACAGAAAGAAAGAAAGAAAGGAAAAAGAAAGAAAAACCTAATCTAAGATAGGGTTGCTGTACCGGTGGAAGACATAGGTCCTGTCCTTCAGCCTCTCCTCAGTTCCTGGCATGAGATCTGTCCTTCAGAAGAAAAGAACAAAGAAAAAAGAAACAAAAAAACCTAATCTAAGACAGGGTTGCTGTTCCAGTGGCTGACATGGGTCCTGTCCTTCAGCCCCTCCTGAAAATCATTCTCCAGAGCTGGGCCCGAAGATTGGGTAGACTGGCTCTGCTGGCTGGTGTGGGTCCTGTCCTACAGAAAGAAAGAAAGAAAGGAAAAAGAAAGAAAAACCTAATCTAAGATAGGGTTGCTGTTCCGTTGGAAGACATAGGTCCTGTCCTTCAGCCTCTCCTAAGTTCCTGGCATGGGATCTGTCCTTCAGAAGAAAAGAACAAAGAAAAAAGAAACAAAAAAACCTAATCTAAGATAGGGTTGCTGTTCCAGTGGCTGACATGGGTCCTGTCCTTCAACCCCTCCTGAACATCGTTCTCCAGAGCTGGGCCCGAAGATTGGGTAGACTGGCTCTGCTGGCTGGCGTGGGTCCTGTCCTACAGAAAGAAAGAAAGAAAGGAAAAAGAAAAACCTAATCTAAGATAGGGTTGCTGTTCCGGTGGAAGACATAGGTCCTGTCCTTCAGCCTCTCCTAAGTTCCTGGCATGGGATCTGTCCTTCAGAAGAAAAGAACAAAGAAAAAAGAAACAAAAAAACCTAATCTAAGACAGGGTTGCTGTTCCAGTGGCTGACATGGGTCCTGTCCTTCAGCCCCTCCTGAAAATCGTTCTCCAGAGCTGGGCCCGAAGATTGGGTAGACTGGCTCTGCTGGCTGAGATAGGGTTGCTGTTGTGGTGGCTGGCGTGGGTCCTGTCCTTTCGCCTCTCCTGAGACCCCGGCCCTCCAGAGCCAGGTCTGACGATCGGGTTGGATGAACTGGCCGTTTGGTTGGAATGGTTTCTACACATCAAAGCTTCATGACATCATCGATGACCTCAGAGCTGCAGAAGAACTATGAGATGATTCTGCAACTCGGAATGTTTTGTTATGAATCATAATCTGGTTTCCACGGCAACATGTCATTCATGTAATCCATCATTCACTTTATAAAGTCTAAAGTCATCGACAATGTCATACCGCACTGAGACCCGAGCCAGGGCCAAAAATAGGGTGGACTAGCTCCGCTGGCTGGCGTGGGTCCTGTCCTACAGAAAGAAAGAAAGAAAGAAAGAAAGAAAGAAAGAAAGAAAGAAAGAAAGAAAGGAAAGAAAGAAAGAAAAACCTATCCTGAGATAGGGTTGCTGTTGTGGTGGCTGGCGTGGGTCCTGTCCTTTAGCCTCTCCTGAGACGCCGGCTCTCCAGAGCCAGGTCTGACGATTGGGTTGGATGAACTGGCCGTTTGGTTGGTATGGTTTCTATACATCAAAGCTTCATGACATCATCGATGACCTCAGAGCTGCAGAAGAACAATGAGATGATTCTGGAACTCGGAATGTTTTGTTTTGAATCATAATCTGGTTTCCACGGCAACATGTCATTCATGTAATCCATCATTCACTTTATAAAGTCTAAAGTCATCGACAATGTCATACCGCACTGAGACCCGAGCCAGGGCCGAAAATAGGGTGGACTAGCTCCGCTGGCTGGCGTGGGTCCTGTCCTACAGAAAGAAAGAAAGAAAGAAAGAAAGAAAGAAAGAAAGAAAGAAAGAAAGAAAGAAAAAGGAAAGAAAAACCTAATCTAAGATAGGGTTGCTGTACCGGTGGAAGACATAGGTCCTGTCCTTCAGCCTCTCCTCAGTTCCTGGCATGGGATCTGTCCTTCAGAAGAAAAGAACAAAGAAAAAAGAAACAAAAAAACCTAATCTAAGACAGGGTTGCTGTTCCAGTGGCTGACATGGGTCCTGTCCTTCAGCCCCTCCTGAAAATCGTTCTCCAGAGCTGGGCCCGAAGATTGGGTAGACTGGCTCTGCTGGCTGGTGTGGGTCCTGTCCTACAGAAAGAAAGAAAGAAAGGAAAAAGAAAGAAAAACCTAATCTAAGATAGGGTTGCTGTTCCGTTGGAAGACATAGGTCCTGTCCTTCAGCCTCTCCTAAGTTCCTGGCATGGGATCTGTCCTTCAGAAGAAAAGAACAAAGAAAAAAGAAAACAAAAAAACCTAATCTAAGACAAAGAAAGAAAAACCTATCCTGAGATAGGGTTTCTGTTGTGGTGGCTGCGTGGGTCCTGTCCTTTAGCCTCTCCTGAGACCCCGGCCCTCCAGAGCCAGGTCTGACGATCGGGTTGGATGAACTGGCCGTTTGGTTGGTATGGTTTCTATACATCAAAGCTTCATGACATCATCGATGACCTCAGAGCTGCAGAACAATGAGATGATTCTGGAACTCGGAATGTTTTGTTTTGAATCATAATCAGGTTTCCACGGCAACATGTCATTCATGTAATCCATCATTCACTTTATAAAGTCTATGACTGTGAAAAAAAAAAAAAAAAAACATGCATGTAGAGTGCTATTTTTGGCCGGGAAGAGCATGGAAAGACAGAAGTTTCAGACAATTTCATGCAACTTCTCTAACTCTAGCCGATAATGTCACACACTCTGGCATGAAGATTCCACACAATACAGACTCATTATAATCTCAAAATTTCTCCCAAAATGGTCATGGTCATTGAATAGTGAGCAATCAAAAATTACAATACTTAGTAGAATGTAGATTTATACACCAATAGACAAGACTTGTGTCTTCATTTTAAACTTTAAATGGAGTCTCCTTGTGAAAGATTGCCGGAGCAGTAGATGTTTGAAATACTCAGATAATTGCTCTATTTTTTGGCTTGTCCCATTGACTTCAATGCAAAATTTTTCCATGGAAACCATCACTGATGACATTTTTTAATGTTCCCATGGACCTAAGCCAATCTGAACCTTGGTGTTGCTCCAAAGGAAGTTTCTGGGAACTTCACTCAAACTCCACCACATGATTTAGACAAATTTTAAAAGATATGATAGGTGCTTCGAGCAAAATTGCCTAATGCCAAATCTTTTGTATGAACTTCATTGTTCAAAATATTGCAGCTTTCCTTTTGTACTGCAAACAGTCACACTAAATCATTTTTGAAGGAAACTTTATGGTTGTAAGATTGTGGGTTGAATTATTTCAAAATGTGCCACAAACACTCAGGCTGGGTAGTTACAATGACACATTCACAGCCCTTCATAGAGTGAATGCAATGTACTTGCAATCTGACCTTTATGGATTTTGATACAGCTAATAATCCAATCCATCAAGCACAGGAACACAGTGAAACTCAAGGCAAATTGAGCTTTACAAATATCACACAGTACATGCCCATTTTTCTGTGTTTATCAAAACATTTTGCAGCGACTGTGCAGAGCAGTTAGAAGGAGAAGAGAGAACTTGTTCTTTCATTGCTACCAAGCATTTTTCTCCACAGTACACAACACAGAGTGAGATATTCAGGCTGTATACCAACCAGTAACACCACTATAGAACTTTAAAGGACATCTTGGCGATCACTTACATTTAAGTGATATAGTAAAGTGAATACGTTTTTTATGCAAATCAGAATTCCTTCAGTGTAAGTGGGACAATTAATATATGTCCTATATTTCCATCTACACTGTTTGCCAAATAATGTGTGGTCCTAAAAAGAGCTGTGAGATGATCTCGGGGTGTTAGATAATGTAGTTTTATATGACCTTAAACAACTTGGAACACAGAAATAACACATGACAACAGTATGTGAGTTTCTGACCCTGAGCGTGACCTCATGGAAAATACTGTTTACTCCTCATGGAAGTGAAAGCATATCTGACAAGGTTAGGTGGTTAGTGGACTCTAAATATGCACCTCTGGTATGCAGATGATATACCTGTCACACCCTATAAAAATTCACATGCTATGTTCATTTCTTTGCTTCACTGGTTTAGACCTCAGCTGCCAAAGACAAGCATTTCAGGGTAAGGAATAACTGAATGATATAGGAGGAACAGCTAACATGGCATACAGGTGTGAGATGAGATGTGTTGTCAGATGTGCTGTTTCAGTGTACCTGCCAGACTGTTAGACCAGTGAGTTGTACGTAACAGAATTTTTCAGTCTTTCAGGGGCAACAAAGAAACTGCAGTTCACTGAATTTTAACTCCAACTTAGAGCAACAGTCCACTTTTATTTTGAAATACAGTATCTATAAAAACTTTTCAGGAACTCCATCCAGCACATTATGATGACAGATATTCTAAGCCCATATATGCAGCATTCATTGAGAAATCAAGTGGGGCACTGGCATGAGGAATAGGTTATTGACAGCTGCAGACTGGGTCAATTTTACCACACAATTCAGCAGTCTGCCCCATACCCATACATAAATGGATCCTAGCCCAAAGGCTATTTTCTACAACAAAAATATATCAATAAACACTCATATCACAATATATTATGGTATCTGCTTATCATAAGGATTTTTAAAAAAGCTCTTTAAAAGTAAACTGCAATTTTTCTCATAATTATTTACTTTGGAGTCATTGGGATAAAACAAAATGTATAGTTTTAATCTGTAAATGAAATTCACAGAACTATTTATTAACTATTGCACAATATGAACAAAATATAAACATTTCATGAGTAAAAGAAGCAATTTAGTGCATAAAAAAAGCATAATCAACCTTTTCACAGTTTAAACTTTATCTTTGCAACACAAACTTTCTAGTTAACCATCACTGTTATTCCTGTAACACCAGCACTCGACAGTTTGGTCTTTTTTATTCAGCTTCCATTTTCTGTAGCCTTCAGTAAAACTTATGTCATATGAGCACCAGAATAAATCTTTTGGATTAGGTTAGTATGTAGCGCCTACAAATTTTTTTTTTCTTTTTGTTAATTTAACTGGCAGTAACTCACTTGGGCTCTGTGGGTCATGAAATCAACTTGTCACAGGTGAGTGACACTCGCTCTGCATCCTCTACCTTTCCACTGGTCTCAGCATACAGAGCTGAAACTACTTTTTCTCTTTTCTTATTATTTTTTATTTTTATTTTTGAGGGGTTTTTAGAATTGCTGGTGAACTTCTTGGCATCTTTTCACCAATATCTGACAACCTGTCTTCTTCTGTTTTTTTTTTTTTTATATAGCTGCATACTTCTTCTTGAGTCAATTAGCCGCTGGTCATATCCCACTCACTCACATCATTGGTGCCTCTGTGTGGAGTTGTGAAAATGTGAGATGATGAGTCAAATTGGCAGAAAAAGCTACTTAGACCTGAAGTCTGACTCAATCCCAGACCACCCTGTCTACATGAAACACTTATTCTCTAGACTAAGACAGTTAGCCTTTCACTGGAACTGGGCTGTGACTTAACATGTAACGTGATTAGGCGACTGGAATTCATTTGCAGCAACAGTGCTTTGTAGTGGGTGAAAAATATAGACCAATGGAGATAACAGCTCTGATGCACTCCTGACTGCCATTATTCAATTCTTAGGTCATATGTAGATTAACCAGGTCTCATACTGACACATTATTTCATTGCACTTTGTTGCATCTGTGTCTATCTCTCTCTGCTCCACCTTTCCTTTCCTTCTTATCTGTACAGCCAAGCAGTAATGCTGTCTTGTGTTAGTTGAGAAGCAGTGAGCAGATGGTTGCTATGTGAGCCACGAGGGACACTGTAACGTCATATTTTGCAGACTGCATACAGCTGAGATGCTACAGCAACTAGCTGAGCACAAAGCTAATTACAAGAGTTGCACTCACTTATGATGACTTGCCTCTGGTGAATGTCCCTGTGTTCTTGACCTACAATGCAAAAGGTTTTTAGTAGGTTAGTTTTTATTCATTTATTACTTTGTCTTCCTTTGCCATGAATTACTGCATCAGTGTGGTGTGACATAGGAGAGAACAGTCCGTGGCACTACTAAGATGTTATTGCAGCCCAGGTCGCTTTGATAGCAGTTTGTAGCTGGTCTGTAATTTTATTTTTTTTCTCATTTAAGTACTGACAACTTCTACACAGATCCTCTTTAGGTTCAGATCAGAAGAGTGTTACATGTGCATATATAGAATATGCCACACTAATATGTATTTTCTTTGAGGCACTCCTGAGGACTCCTTTGTGGCACTTTCTGGCCTCCATATGCTGGCTCCACCAGATAATTGAGCTGATCACCTGCACCTGTGGGCAGTCCATAAAAGCCAAGGGAGGCTCTTCCACGCTCTCTCTCAGCCTGCAGCCAGACCAGACATGCTGTCCCAGCTCCCATACCGTCCATTGTTTTTGAGTTCTTGTAAATAAATGCTTTGGTGAAAACTTTGAGTTGTTTCAGTTCTCTTATGTTGCTTCCCCTGAGCCAGGGTCGTAACAAGAGTTAACTGGCAACGCGCAGAAATATCATGGTAAGTAAACTATTTGATTGTAGTTTTGGCTCTACAGGCTGGAAAAATGAATCAGCATTGCCTAAAGCTTCTCAGCAGATGGATGCATGAAGTGGTCTAGAATCTCTGTGTAGACTTTAGGCTGCATTGACTCTGAACTTGATAAAACACAGTAGACTAACACCAGGAGATGACATGGTGCGCTGAGCATTACAGGACGTCAACCACCTACAGGGCGATTTTCAAATTCAAATTCAAATTCAAAAAAGGACTTTGGAGGCCTAAGCAAACTAAGTAAGCCTAAGTATGAGACCTCTATTATTGTCTCTTCAGGAGTGGATCAATATCAAGAATGGGTTTCCTGAGGACACCTTTGGGTGGTGAAGCCTGGTGCAATTTTCCACTGACAAGCTTTAAGC